AGGATAACTCGGTGCTACCGGGCCTCAAAAATCAAGTCTGGAACCCATACTTAATTATTCAGTCCAATATTAAACATAATTAATTATTTAATTCATTAAGCTAATAATATTCTAAAATATTGAAATTGACACGCATAATAATTAAGGATAACTCGGTGCTACCGGGCCTCAAAAATCAAGCCTGGAACCCATACTTAATTATTCAGTCCAATATTAAACATAATTAATTATTTGATTCATTAAGCTAATAAATTTTGTTTAAATTATAGTAGACGACATGGCCTTTCCTCCGCCTGCGCATCCTGGACCTGCCGAGGATCAGCTTTTAGTGCTGCAGGGCGACCATAGGTCCTTCTTTGTATGGGAGGGACAGCTATCGGAGCAGCTTCTTCGCCCCAGGAGGCTCGACGATTTGTGGGAGTTCATCGCGGAGCATCCTTTCCATGGCCGCGTAGTCGAGCGCCTACAGGCTACCATGAGTTTCCGTGTACTACTAAATACTCCTGATCCTAAAATACCATAATAAAAGTTATGTGATTATTTCACCCTAATTTATTTATTTCTTAAATTATATTATTCTCTCTACAATACACGCTCACTCTATTAAAGTTAAAAGTAAAATTGGAAAAAAGAATTAATTTTTCTTGATTTTCTAAAAGACAAATATTTTGCAATAATTATTTCTGACAAACATGGTAAATAACTAGGATTAATATGCATGACTCCTGAGAGGACGTTTGTGTTATCTTAAAAACTGGTCAAATCAAGAATAATCCCCAACATCCATTCCTTAATCTAAGTTTCACTAGAAATTGTTGTTGATATCTATTTGTCTGGTTAATTATATGCATTTTAACAATAAACTAAACTCACTTACATCACCACCATAGAACGTTCAACTTAAGAACTAAACAAATCTAGCAGCAAAAGTCTAAGATTGCATGAAATGATGGTTGTTAATCGTATGCATTTTTACAGATTGTAGTAAGTTATCACGTCTTTTCAGAATTACCAACTCATGCTCAAGTCCCAACTAATTATAGATGGTCATCTTAATTAGCTTTTACAAGTCCTGATTAGCTTTTATAAAGGGATTTTTTCATTCATATACATTATTTGAAACTTTATTATCCTTAATGTCCATGTTTAGTTATTTACCCGGCATAAACAAGTTTTGTTTACGAAATATATACAATCCACCTTAAAAGATTCACAATCCATTATTTGTGCCTTCAATCAAGAGATTTAGTTACACTCTTTTCCTTTTTTCCTCTCCTCTCTCCCCTCTTCTCTCCAGATTCTCTCTTTCTCCCCATATCTTCGGCAGAAGCTATAGATCTTGCATAGAAGTGAATTTAATTATATCATTACTTCCAATTACAATACCAAAAACAGACTTTGATAGTTGCTTTTGTGCATCATCATATCCTAATTGTGTCACCAATCTTTGCTGAACAATGGAGAAAAACTGCACTTGTTGTGACATATAAAGTGCTTTGCTCTGCTAAAAAAAGGCTTGATGTTAACTTTCTTTCTGTTTAGTAATTTTAAAGTAAGTAATGTCTAAAATTAATTATACTCATATTAACAATTAGAATCTCAATCTCAAAAGGAGTATATGACTGTATTTTTCAGTTTCTTGCTTTTATCTAAGTTTTTGCTCAGTACTTCAACCACCATATCCATATGGAAAAGTCATGAAAAAGCAACAAAATGCTGCTTACGAATTAGCAATCTCACATAGAACAGTTACTCAAAATGAGGAGGAGAAAATAAGTGAATTGGAAGAAAACAGAAAAACAAAGCAACAAATCAGAGATNNAGTTTTTCTATTATCTAATACTTTTGTATAATTTACATTAGCTTAAGATTGAAAAATTAGTCTAAAAAGCACTTAAAGAATAGAAGAAGATTCTACGAAATCATAATTATAAACAAAATTGATTCAAGTTGAAGTGAGTTAGACAAATTAAGAAGTTGAGCCCATCCACCATACGTGAGGTAACAAAAAATACGAAAAAATGCAAATTTAATAATCTACAATTTTTATTATAAACTTTAAAAATTTACAACAAATGATTAAAACTGATTTATTTATCACTAATAATAAATACATAATTATTTATACTATGTATAATTTGAGTAAATTTGGGGC